CGTTCCAGTCCCTTTCCACCGTAACCAATGCCATGGCAGATGTCGATGCAGTACTGGTACTCACTTCTGCAGCCGCACGTCGACTCAGACGAAGCAGCACTGTGGACTCGGAACTGCAACAAGCCTGCATCCTCTCTGTCTGCCTCGTGGCAGAAGCCGCACTCGCAGTAGCGCTCGAAGATGGGCCACACCTTGTCCTGATTCTTGTGGCAAAGCTCCTCGCAGTGGGGGCACTTGACAATGTCGCAGATGTCATGGCACCAGCAATCCAGGTCGTTACACCTGTCAGCAGTTGTCGTGGTCGTTGTGGTCTTGTAGTAGTCGTCGTCGTAGTCATCGCCAAAGTCATCGCAGTCGGCACAGTAATCGAAGATCTGATGGACCAACCCAAACGCTTCCACACATTTGTCCTCACACGGTCCACATGTAGAATCCCCGCAGTAGAAGCCGTCGTAGCAGAGATCTGCGCAGAAATGATGCTCATCATTGAGGCCTTCTCCACAGTACTTGTCGAAAACATCCCAGATGTAGTGGATGTCTTCGTGGCAGTACTCGTAGCACTTGTCCCCCAGCGGGTACACCATGAAGTCTGTCTCGCAGATCTCCTGGCAGACGTTGTCCGTCGTGCAGGAGTCGACGCCGTCGTTGGACAGACTCAAGAATGCGGGCTCTGCCTGTTTCTCGAAGACTTGCTGCGGCAGCTGCAGCTCTTCTGCATTAGCCACGCGCTCCAGGCATGCAAACAACACGAGCAAGGGGGCAAGCACCATGCTTGTGCCTTCGGCACCAAGCCAGGCCAGAAATAAGACGGTTCGGTAGGACTTTAGCCGAATGGCTCGGCGCAAGTTGGCATGAAGAATGAAGCAGGGTACGTCCAGAGACACGAGAAACACTGCATGCCGAGACTTTCTTGGCCCTTGGCTGGACCAGGTACAAAGCGAAGGGGGGCGGACCTCGCCGTCTGGCCGCCGCAGCTTCGGAAGCCAGGAGATGACCCGGATCGCAGGAAATGGCGGGACCAGGACCTCTGGGGCTGGAGCTTCAGAGTCACGAGTTGAACAGACTGCCTTTCCATTTCCTTTTGTTTCCAGCTCATAGCTTTCAGCCTACGGGTGGTCATCTCAATTGCGCTCACAAACCCGGGCTTCTGCATACACGACGGGGCCGGCACCGCGTCGTAGTGCGGAACTCCCTCGGCCGCATCATCGCTGCCAACTCCGGCGTACGCTGGGTCCTGTAGTCGTTGAGAGTTTCAACTTCCGCGCATGTGGGAAAACCTTGATGGCCGAAGCTACGCCTCTATCCTGAAGCTTCTGTCACTGCACTGCATGTCAGCAATGCGGAAGGTTGGATATCTGCCAGAAGGAAGACGGCAGCACAGTGCGAGCCAACCAAAAAAACACCCACCCAGCAATCTGAACACTGCGTAGCCGTCCTGCACCGGAGCTTCCAAGATCTGCCAGCAAGACTCTCAGATCTCTCTCACTGGCCATGATTCCATGGTTTCAGAAGACTAGAGAGAGATTGAAGACAGCCTGTTCCGAACCCTGGCTTTTGAGCTTAGATGCCAGCAAGCCCACAAAGATCACGGCAGGGAGCATCCCACGACGAGGCCTCTGTCACGGTGTCCTTGATCAAGTGACCGTCCTGCCCCGCTGTAGATTCGACTGGCCATCCAATCGGGGACCCGGGACCGGACATTGTCCACTCAGGAATGGCTTTCGACAACTTACAGCTCAAGACTTGCAGTCTAGCATTTTGGAGTATTGCAGGTAAGGCCAAAGCAGCCACGGGTTTCGAAGTTGTAGGATTCAGATTCGATGTCAACTCGGTAACTCGTGGTGAAGATTGCTAGGCTCCTTATGGTGCTACCACTTCACCGGGTGTCGACTGGATAAGAAACACTATTTACCACTCTGAAACTCCGGCAGGTCCCGAAAGTGCGGGGCGATCCGAGGCTGTGAGAAGCGGATGTTGAGGGGGTTCAGCAGCCGCCACCGGCCTCGCCGATTGATGCTTGCTCTTGCAAGGAGCGTAGCAACGGCACGCCTCATGCGAACCCCTGCATCCTGAATCAGGCCTAAACCCTCGAACACACAATCCTCCAGCCACAGAGTCGGCCTTCCTCGCGTGGAGGCATACTGTCAACAAATGTGCCTAAAATTGGCTGAGCGCAAAGCTGCGGCACAGAAAGAAGCCAAGCCATGATTCGAGTTCAGCGTTTTCGCCCTCAGAGGCCCGGCCCTATAGCTGTGCAACGGAACTTCTCACAATGCAAGAAGCACAAGCCTCCTGCAGGTTACAGCTCTTGCACGACGGCGTTTGCCAGAAAGACTGGCACCACACCACAGATCTAGCCCCACACCATGAACACAAACCTGTGTAAACTTGCGGAACCCGCAGACTGACTTTGTAAAGATTGCGCAGCTCTTTTTCCCGCGTGCCACCGCTCTTGGTGTACAGGCGAGTCTCAGGAGCAGGGCGCTGCATGCTGCAGTCGGACAACTGGTTGAAGGTTTTTGCAGCGAGGATTACTGAAGAAATGATGGGATGATATCTCAGCAAAGTGGCCAGCATGGCGTTTCATGTCAGACTTGGCATGGCCACGTTCGGAAACCTGTCAGCGCCTGTCAATTTCAGTTCTTTCATGCAAATGGGAAACTCGCGCAGAGCCACCTTTTGTTGGAGGCCGCGGTCAGCTGCGTGGCAGCGCCTGTCAGCTTGAATCACGAAACAAAGCCAGCAAAACTCTTGAACACACGTCGCCGGATTGCCGAGTCTTTGTCACGCACTAAGCGTTCACACCACTACCAACCTTGCGCTGACCCCACCTCCGTTTGGAGGTGCAGCAAGCATTGACCAAGCAGCGTACAAGAATCAGGAAAGGCATGGAAAGACATCACTTTAAAACGATTCAACCATTGCATCTGGTTTGATTCCCAGCATTCAAAGCCGAAATTCAAGTTCGCCACCCTCAAAACTTTGAGAAAAGTGTGGAGAAATCAGTGCACCAAGTGCTGCACATCTCCGAATAATCATTAAAAGGCCCTACCTGGTCTGAGCTCAGTCTCAGTAGTGTTTGCCGAA